ACAAGATATAACCATTATAAATATCTATGCACCCAAAGCAGAAGCACCTACAAAGGTAAGACAAATACTAACAGAATTAAAAGAGAAAATAGAATGCAATGCATTCATTTTAGGAGACTTCAACACACCACTCATTCCAAAGGACTGATAAACCAGACAGAAAATAAGTAAGGACAAAGAGGCACTGAACAACGCATTAAAACAGATGGACCTACCAGACATCTACAGAACTCTACACCCAAAAGCAGCAAGGTACACATTCTTCTCAAGTGCACTTGGAACATTTTTTCAGAATAGACCACATACTAGGCCACAAAAAGAGCATCAGCAAACTCAAAAAGATTGAAATTTACCAACCAACTTCTAAGATCACAAAGGCATAAAACTAGAAATAAATTATAAAAAACAGAAAGGCTCACAAACACATGGAGGCTTAACAGCATGCTCCTAAATAATCAATGTATCAATGACCAAATTAAAACAGATCAAGCAATATATGGAGACATGAAAACAACAGCACAACGCCCAACTCCTGTGGGATGCAGCAAAGGCAGTTCTAAGAAGAAAGTATATAGCTCTCCAGGCCTATTTAAAGAAGGAAGAACAATACCAAATGAGCAGTAAATTCACAATTAATGAAACTGGAAAAACAACAAAATCTGTGGGACGCAGCGAAGGCCATACTGAGAGGAAAGTATATTGCAATACAGGCCCACCTCAGGAAAGAATAACAATCCCATATGAGCAGTATAAACTCACAATTAATGAAATTAGAGGAAGAACAAATGAGGCCAAAAATCAGTAGAAGGAGGGACATAATAAAGATTACAGCAGAAATAAAATCGAGAAGAATAAAACAGTAGAAACAATTAAAGCAAGAGCTGGTTCTTTGAGAAAATAAACAAAACAGATAAACCCCTAGCCAGACTTATCAAGAAGAAAAGAGAATCTACACACATAAACAGAATCAGAAATGAGAAAGGAAAAATCACTACGGACACCACAGAAATACAAAGAATTATTAGAGAATACTGTGAAAAACAGTATGCTAGCAAACTGAATAACCTAAAAGAAATGGATAGTTTCTAGAAAAATACAACCTTCCAAGACTGATCCAGGAAAAAAACAGAAAATCTAAACAGACCAATTACCAGCAATGAAATTGAATCAGTAATCAAAAAACATCCCAAGAACAAACTCTCAGACTAGATGGCTTCACCGCTGAATTTTATCGGACATTTAGAGAAGACATAATACCCATTCTCCTTAAAGTTTTCCAAAAACTAGAAGAGGAGGGAATACTTCCAAACTCATTCTATGAAGCCAGCATCACTCTAATACCAAACCAGGCACAGACACCACAAAGAAAGAAACTACAGACCAATATCCCTGATGAAAATAGATGCAAAAATACTCAATAAAATATTAGCAAACCGGGTTCAAAAATACATCAAGGATCATACACCATGATCAAGTGGGATTCATCCTATGGCTGCAAGGATAGTACAACATTCAAAAAATCCATCAACATCATCCACGACATCAACAAAAAGGAAAAAAACCACATGATTATCTCCATAGATGCTGAAAAAGCATTTGATAAAATTCAACATCCATTCACAATAAAAACTCTCAACAAAATGGGTACAGAAGGCAAGTACCACAACATAATAAAGGCCATACATGACAAACACACAGCCGACATCATACTTAACAGCAAGAAGCTGAAGGCTTTTCCTCAAAAATCAGGAATAAGATAAGGATGCCCACTCTCCCTGCTTTTATTCAACATAGTACTGGAAGTCCCAGCCACGGCAATCAGACAACACAAAGAAATAAAAGGCATCCAGATTGGTAAGGAAGAAGTCAAACTGTCACTATTTTCAGATGACATAATATTGTACATAAAAAAACCTAAAGACTCCACTCCAAAACTACTAGAACTAATATCTGAATTCAGGAAAGTTACAGGATACAAAATTAATACCTAGAAATCTGTTGCATTCCTATACACTAATGATGAATTAGCAGAAAGAGAAATCAGGAAAACAATTCCATTCACAATTGCATCAAAAATAATAAAATACCTAGGAATAAACCTAACCAAGGAACTGAAAGACCTATACCCTGAAAACTATAAGACACTCCTAAGAGTAATTAAAGAGGATTCTAATAAATGGAAATTCATCCTATGCTCTTGGGTAAGATTTAATATTGTTAAAATGGCCATCCTATCTAAAGCAATCTACAGATTCAGTGCTGTCCCTATCAAAATACAGCATTCTTTAACAAACTGGAACAAATAGTTTTAAAATTCATATGGAACCAAAAAAGACCCCGAATAGCCAAAGCAATCCTGAGAAGGAAGAATAAAGCTGAGAGATTATGCTCCCCAACTTCAAGCTCTACTACAAAGCCACAGTAATCAAGACAACTTGATATTTGCACAAGAACAGACATAGACCAGTGGAACAAAATAGAGTCCAAATATTAACCCAAGCATATATGTCAATTAACATATGATAAAGGAGCTATGAATATACAATGGTGAAATGACAGCCTATGCAACAACTGGTGTTGGCAAAACTGGGCAGCTACATGTAAGAGAATGAAACTGGATTACTGTCTAACTCCATACACAAAAGTAAAGTCAAAATGGATCAAGACCTGCACGTAAGTCATGAAACCATAAAACTCTTAGAAGAAAACATAGGCAAAACTCTCTTGGACATAAACATCAGCAACTTCTTCATGAACATATCTCCCCGGGAAAGGGAAAGAAAAGCAAAAATGAACAAGTGGGACTATGTTAAACTAAAAAGCTTCTGTACAGCAAAAGACACCATCAGTAGAACAAAAAGGCATCCTACAGTGTGGGAGAATATATTCATAAATGACTTACCCAATAAAGGGTTAACATCCAAAATATACAGAGAGTTCACGCACCTCAACAAACAAAAAGCAAATAATCCAATTAAAAAATGGGCAGAGGGGGCACTCTAACCCCCTGGGCAGCAGGGAGCACAGAGGCCCCTCACGGAGATAAATAGCCTCCCGGCCGCTCCCCCTCCAGCGCGGATCCACCATATCGGACCAGCAGCCTGAGGCAAGCCACACCCACAGCAACAGCGGAGATAAACCCCATAGCAGCCGGGCAGGAATCAGAAGCCCTGTCTGCACAGTTGCCCAGCACAAGCCACTAGAGGTCGCTGTTCTCCCAGGAGAGGAAGGCCACAAACCAACAAGAAGGAAAGTTCTTCCAGCCGTCACTCGTGCCAGCTCTGCAAACTATCTCTAGCACCATGAAAAGGCAAAATTACAGACAGACCAAGATCACAGAGACAACACCAAAGAAGGAGACAGACCTAACCAGTCTTCCTGAAAAAGAATTCAAAATAAAAATCATAAACATGCTGACAGAGATGCAGAGAAATATACAAGAGCTAAGGGATGAAGTCTGGAGGGACATTACAGATGCCCGGAAAGAGATTACAGAAGTGAAACAAACTCTGGAAGGATTTATGAGCAGAATGGATAAGATGCAAGAGGCCATTGATGGAATAGAAACCAGAGAACAGGAACGCATAGAAGCTGACATAGCGAGAGATAAAAGGATCTCCAGGAATGAAACAATATTAAACAAGTAGTGATTTTATAGCATCTTAGTATGCTGATGGATAGTGATTAATGGGGTATGTGGGGGGGATTTGGTGAAGGGGGGAGTCTAGTAAACATAATGTTCCTCATGTAATTGCTGATTAATGATACCGAAATTAAAATTAATATTAAAAAAAAGATGTAAGACATATCAACATCACATACTCCTTGTATGACTAAAAAAGACATAAATGACTTAAGTGATTTACCTTCTGAAATTATGTAATCTTAATCTAATCATGAGAAGAGATAGACAAGACCACTTGAGTCTACAGAATAAGTGACCAAAATTTACTGAAAATCAAAATCATGAAGTACAAGAAAAGTCTAAGGAACTGTGCCAGACTGAGAGAGACCAATGAGACACAAGACCTAAACTCAAATGTCGGATCCTGCAACAGAAAAAGACATTAGGGGAAAAGCTCTTAAAATTGAACAAGATCTGTAGTTTAGTATTATATCATGTTTGTTTTGATAATTGTACTATGGTTTGTAAATTGTTACCATTATGGGAAACTTGGAGAAGGGCATAGAAATCTCTCTGTAATATTTTTGTAACTTTTCTGTAGGTCTAAAATTATTTCCAAAGAAAAAGTTAAAGAAGTAATAAGTTTTAGATTTTGTTGGTAGGTATGTATAGTTACTGCTCTGAAGAAACAAAAGAAAAGAGAGACAGCTGATATCTGTACTTTGATGACTAGCCAATTAATATATCTGCTGTTGCAAATTTCTAATAGGTTCTCTAGTCATACTCAAAGTGCTTTAAATATAACTATTTCAAGGTTTTTAATATTCTAATAGTCTTCCCTGAGAACAAGATATCAGATTTTAAAATAAAATAAAATCCTAAATTGAAAACAGATTTGTCTACACAATTCACACAGTTTAGCATAGTTAACTACATGACTACATGACTATTTTTTTCAAAATATTCCCATGTCTCTAGGTTAAGAAAGAATCACTCTAGTTGGTTGTGTCTGTCCTTTCTGCGTTAAATTTCACTTAGCAACCCCTATCAAGCTCTGTGGGATCAGTTTCCCTGACATGCCTTGATATGTGATCATTACAGTATGTACCTTGAAGACATTTGATTTTCCAATCACCAAATAGCTAAATGAAAATTTTAACTTCTTGTTGAGCATCCTAACATCAAAAATACACATAAGTATGCTTGTTATAAAATTTGAATTTAATGCAATACTAAATTTTAGTGCATTGTTCAATATTCTAAAACAGTGAGTTTGCTCAGCTGGCAACTGATTGCATAGGAAGAAAAAAATTCTTTAGGAGCTTGGGGTGTTTTGTATGTTTGTTAATTCAGTTTTGGTTTTGATCTTTTTCAGGATGTGGTGGATACACACCCTGGCCTCACGTTCCTGAAAGATGCTCCAGAATTCCACTCCCGCTACATCACTACGGTAGGCTGGATCTTCTTGACGTAACTCCATAAGTCTCCTTTTATCACTCGCTGGTATCCAGGCTTTCAGAATCTCACACAAAAAGTAACATGACTATGATAGTTCATTTAAGTGGAAGGAAGTTACAGTAAAATTGAATTAACTATTTGTATCTATTTCCTTATATGTACCTGATGTTTAAAAGGGCTCTTGTAGACAAAATTATAGTAATATGTTCATTCGGTCTGAGCATAAGAGATGTACCTTTTGCTATGTCGTTAATATTGATACCCAGTTGATCTTTAGCATTTACAAATAAAACTGAATTTTCAGTAGCCTTTCCCAGAAAAATATGTGTCTGTAGTATCTCAAAGTTAGAAATAATAATGAAATAGCTTGCATGTAATCGGAAAACAAGTCATGTTAAAATTTAGCATGAATAATATAATCACAATCGCCTTTTATGAGGAGCTCTCCTTTTCTGTTTCTCATGCACAAACCTCATTTGATCAGTCAAAGGCAGGGCGTGAGTTACGAGTGAGAGCACACCCTGCAGCCTGTCCAAGCATGTCCAGCGTACTCTGTCCTAGCTCACAGATTACCAACTTTAGAGGCATTCCAAAGACAAGCCTGAGGGCATAGGTCACAGTCACAGCCACACTCAGATGAGATGGCCCTTGCCTCTGGTTCACATCCCCCAGAAAACGCCCTCAGCGTCCCTCCCTCTCATTTTTAGGGTACTTTTTGTTTGCCATGGATTCATTGGGTTCTGTCAAGTAACAGAATACTACCATTTTTTTTCTTATGTAGGAAAATCATTCTTTGCTTTTATGTTGGTTCTCCTGTCATAAAACTTTGTACGACTTTGAGCCAGAAGGTGTCACTGTCTTATCTAAGAGTATCTCAGAAGTTACTTTTGGCTGTTAACCACAACACTCTACTAAATTACCTCCACCACACTCTCCCTCGTTTCTCACTTGTATTACTTCTAACTGGTCTCTCTGCTTACACACTCATCACCCTACAGTCTAGTCTCCACAAAGCAGAGTTTTCCTTTGAAAGTGTCAGATCATGTCACTTCTCTGCTGAGATCCTCCAGTCATTTCCCTTCTCAGAGTAAAGCCAGAGTCCTTGTGCAGACTCCGTAATCTCCCCTCACCCTTCCAGCTGCTGCTCTCTGATGTGTTCTCCTACCACTCTGTGCCTTGCTCACTCTATTCGAGCCTCCTCACTGTTCCTGGAACAGACCAAACGCCCTTCTGCCTCAGGTGCTTTGTTCTCAACTCTTTCCTCTGCCTGGAGCACTCTTCCTGTGGATTTCCACATGACTCACCCTCTCACTTCATCCATACCTGTGCTCAGACATTCCCTTATCACTGAGGTCTTCCCAGACCATCCTCTGCCTTTTTCAGCCTTCTCACTCTGCCCCCTCCTCCTACACTCTCTATTCCTTTGTTTCGCTTTATTTTTCTTCTTAGCTTTTATATCATCTGATACCTAAATTTTTTGTTCGTTTATTGTCTGTCACTTTGTCTACAATGTAAACTCCATTAGAGCAGGGAATTTGTATGTATTTTTCACTACTGTATCTCCAATATATCTAGAACAGTGCCTAGTATGTAATAGACACATATATATATGTATTCACATAGTCGTAAATATATATTGAGTGAATAAGTTAAATTCTTATACATTGGAATTTAGAAGAATTCTACACATTAACTCTGGTTTCAGTCCCAAAGGGAATTACTTCATTCTGATTACTGACTGTTCTGAAAACTCAGGGCATATTAATAGCATAATATAGAATCTTCAGAATTGGAAAATATCTTAAAGATAATCTAGTCCAACCTACCAACTCAGAAAGTGTTCTCTGCAAAGGAACTTTTTATTGGAGTTAATTCATAGAAAAGATGTTAAAGAACAGAACTATAAAATAGAGATAAATTTTCTTTCTCTACACTTTCTAGTTTAATTAGTCTACTGAAGTATGATTGTTGGACCTATGATGGTCTGTGGTCATCTAGCAAGTGATCCCCAGGAAGCTTTATGATTTCAAAGTGAAAAGCCATGAAACAATTTTGTTGCATATAATTCACATTTTATGAGAAATTCTGTTATGTTAATCATTGAATAAAAACAATTCCAGTGGTCAATTAACATGATACAATTAATTATCTCTACAGACATTTTTCTTTCCAATAGACACATTTGGGTCCTTATCAAACTTATACTAAATCTGTTATTTAACACTGATAATCTTGCCTATACTCCAAAATTACCCCTTCAACAGATTTTTTGTTTGTCTCTTTTTACTGGCATTTTTTCTCAGTCTCTAATGGGATCCTTTTTTTCTTGATGTCTAAGCCACTTTATCTTCTACTTCCATATACCCTCCTGATTGATCTGGTCAACTGACACGACTTCAGTAGCCTTTAATCGCCAAATGTGCATTTGACTTCAATCTGTCTCTGCATCCAAGATCATTCTATTCAATTGCTATGATATATATATATATATATGATATATTCTACTGACATATTTTATGGCATTTACATATTGTTTATACTTTTTTAATTTACATTTTATTGTTAGTATTATGCTGCTTTATCCCCAGTTCATAAAAATGAATCCATTACTCAGATGTAATCTTTAAGGTGTAAAATACTTGTGATGAAATATTAATAGGGCAACTCAAAAGAGCATCATAACATAAATACTAAACAAGATCCAATTAACAATACAGACTGAATCTGCATGTACTCTGATGTGTATCTGTGTATCAATCATACTACCATCCAAAAATGAAAAGTGTAAGTAAAATGTATGACAGTGAATATCTGGAAACAGAATCTTACTGGACTTGTTTTCTGTTCTCCCTAGTGCCTTTTCTCTTACAAAATTTGATCAAATAATGACATGAAGTCATTGAAACTTTTGCATTATTTCAGAATATAATGCATTTTTTCTAGAACAAGTGTAAAATAAGGTTTCTAGTATAAAATTAATTAATTTTATTGTTAAAGGCATAAAAGAGAACAAATTAGAGAGGCATTCTCTACTCTGCTAATGGCAAAGACAGATAAAATCACACTATTTGCAAGAAACTTACAAAGATCAGCCCCAGAATTAATGATAGATAACTCAGAAAACAAAACAAAATTAATTTATCATATGACCCTAGTGGAGGTTATATAATCTCAGTGGCACACAGTGTAGAACAATTTATGTTTTATTTGCATGCTAGAGTTATTCAGTTATTTCTCTTTACAGTTGGGAGAAACTGCTGACAGAGTATGACTCAAATATGCTAGTTTATATGTGGCATATATATGATGAAGAAAAGTTGGGCAACTTTTATTTTCTTTTTATCACTGAAAACCTTTGCTACAGGAAAATACTCTGTTTAATTACTGTGTCAGCTGTTTTTAGACTAGAAAGAGCACCAAGTATGCATACAGCAAAAATGGACACCACTACCACCCAAATAAGAGATTGCACCTAAGGTCACCCCATATTACTTATTTACAGGGAAGAGCTGGCACCTGAGAAGTAAGTCTCTTGATATTAAATGAAAATGAGGGTTCAAAGTACCAGCAAATAGCAGCCCTTGAGTTTGCAAAACAGAGAAAATACCAGTGAATAAAAGACTGCTTATCCTAACTGACATATGCTGACTTTTGAGGAAAAAGGTGCTTACATGAGTTTTTAAAATAAGTAATGAGATTGAAAATACTTCTTTGTGACACTGGTGCTGGTAATAGAGACATTTCTGTGGCTTGCCCAGATGGTGTCTCAGTGATATATTCAGTGTCCTGATTGTCCTGAATCCATTGTTGGACTATCCATTGTTCTAAATCAAGCTGAAATGCCAGGATTTTAATTGTTGATTAATTGTTGAGGATCTTAGGTATACTGATAATTCCTAAGACAACTAAGCTGTGATGGAGACTGCTCACCACTAACAGCTTAAATTTTTCCTCTTGAAAACTTTTCCTTTTGACAGAAAAAGAAATCATTTTATTAGATGGAGTTTTTTTAAGTCCAAATTCTACAGAAGACCATTAGAAATACTTTTTGGATCTATAGTAACCAGAGTGGATCAGGAATCCATTCACCACTCCCTACCAGGTAGACAAGCCATGCTTCCAGCATTTGAGTGTTACCTGCATTCAGGTTACTTGCAGTGAGCAATCTCTATAATTTCTGTCTGCATTCGATCCACTTGTCAAAAATGATCTGACAGAGCCAGCAAACATTTACCTGCATTTCTGGTGACCTATAATTGTAAGTTAGAGGTTTCCAATTTGATAGATGTAAAGAAAAAAGGAGAGGACACTGACTTATGATTCAAACTATCAGGTTGACTAGAGATTCCTTGGTGAAAATTTGTCAAATTTCATTCCTCTCACTGGTAGTAAACAATTATTCTTACAATTATTATTAATCTTTAAATTTTCTTTGGTATTTTTCAAGCTGTGATTAATTCATCTTTTATCTGCCTAAAAGTGGTAGACCAAAAGTTAGCAGGGGCAACAACTGTAATTAATGTAGAACCAGCAGCTACATGCTCTTACCACTAGATGGTGCCCCGACCTCGAGAAGCTAAAATGCTGAATCAGTAATGTGGAAACCAACAAAGTGCTGATGAAGTGGGGCCGCTGAATAAGATTTAGGCTATTGAAAAATAGAATACAGATACATTTTTTATAGTATTAAATAAGTAGGTTAGAGGCTAAAAAACAGGAAATGCTTAGCAGTCAAAAATTTTCACATTTAAAAATTCTCTCAAAAAGAACAAAAAAGAATAAAATAAAAATAAATACAAATTAAAGATTTAAGTGCAACTTCAGGCACTTCCATAAATAATGTAAAATATTTGAAGAGTATGTAAGTATAAAATGTAGATAGAAAACTAAAAATCAAGTAATAAGGACAAAAATCTAATAATGTTCAAGATGGAAAAATTTGGTGTAATAGTATTATTGAAATTGACTTTAATGTGAGAGAGGAGTCATGGTTATGATAAATTATATTCTTTGTGTTTATTTTCATATTTATACTTCTGTGCGAAAAATCCTCCATCTTTTTTATATATGAACTTCTGCCAAGCTAATGCTGAGAATTGTGTTCAATAAGACATACTCTGTGCCCTGAAGCATCTCAGTCTGAGTCTGACTGATTGGGGCCCATAGAGAAATTAAATACCAGCTAGTCCCAACTCCCACCTAATGTCAGAATCTAGTTGACTTCTGCCTAAATAATTCTGGTGAGAAGAAACCGCAGTACTTCATACGACCCGCTGTTTCACAGAGCTAATTGAGAAAACTCTTATATTTCAGTATCAGAGCATTTCTATCCAGTAGTTCTAGTTCCGCCCTCTGGTGCAACACAGAACAAGTCAGCGTCTTCTTCTACCTGATAACCATTTGGATCATGGTCACATCTACACACTCTAGTCTTATTTTTTCCTTAAGAGTAAACATGACTAAACTAGTATCTTTCACAATAATTTTGAATATAGTCCCCCTTACCTATTTCATGTTTTCTGTACATTTTATATGTGATCTATAAATTATAGACAACAAAACTGATTTATGTGAAATACTAATTAGAGACCTTTCTTGGGTTAGCATCCATCTGCTATTCAAAACTGAATAGTTAGTTATTCAACTGGCTATGAATCCAACCCATATGTCTTCATTATAAATATAACACAAAAGTCGTTATTACACAGCTTTCAAACTTCATTAATTTATCAAGCAGTTTTCCAAAGAAGACATACAGATGGCCAACAGGTACATGAAAAGATGCTCAACATTACTAATCATCAGGGAAATGCAAATCAAAACCACATTGAGATATCACTTCACATTTGTTAGAATAGCTAGTGTCAAAAAGACTATATATGTTGGCAAGAATGTGGGAAAAAGAGAGGTTTTATGCACTGTTACTGGGAATGTAAATTTGTGTGTCCACTCTGGAAAACAGTAGGAACGTGCCTCAAAAAATTACAAATAGAACTGCAATATATGATCCAGCAGCTCTACTTCTGGGTGTTTATCCAAAGAAAATAAAAACACTAATGTAAAAAGGTGTCTGCACCTCATTACAGCATTGTTTATAGTAGCCAAGATGTGAAAACAATCTAAGTGTCCATCAGTGGATGAACGGATAAAGAAGTTGTGGTGTATATATAAAATTTAATCTTATTCAGCCATAAAAAAGAATGAAATATTGCTACTTGTGACAACATGGATGGACCTTGAGGGCATAGAGAAAAACAAATAATGTTTGATCTCACTTATATGTGGAATCAAGTAAAAGAAAAACAAGTTCATAGATACAGAGACAAGAGTGGTGGTTGACAGAGATTTGAGGGAAGGAGGCATGAGCGAAGGAGGTCAAGAGATACAAACTTTCAGTTATAAAATAAATCAAGGCGATGTAATTTACAGCCTGGAGACTATTGCTAATAATACCATATTGCATATTTGAAACGTTCTAAGAGAGTTAATCTTAAAAGTTCTCATAAAAAATACAAAAAAAATAATTCTGTAATTGTGTATGATACAGGATGTTTAGCAGACATGTGATCATTTTACAATATATGCAAATATCAAATCATTATGTTGTACACCTGAAACTGATACAATGCTATAGGTCAATTATTCCTCAATTTAAAAAAATTATCAAGCAATTATTGACCACCTGCTTTGTGCAGAACACCATATCAGGCACTGGGATACAAGTCAAGAAAGACTTGGCTCCTTAGAGTTGAGAGGTGATGATGGTCAGCTGCATCAGCATTTAACAAATAACCACAGGATGACTGGAGGGGAATAGGTGACAGCAGGAGCACAGAAGCCAGAGCTGTACCCCTATTCTGGAGCCTCCTGTGGAGTTGGCAGTTGAGCTAGATTCTAAACGGTCAGAAGGAGCTGGCACTGATGGGAAGAGTGGGGTAAGAAATGCTGGGCCTTCATCCTGAGGCTTGTTTTTCCCTGTTCTGTTTGAGAATCACTGTCTTTGCTAAAGAATCAGAAGTAGAATAATGGTTTCGTCTTTCATTATGCCTACTCTTGGGATAGATGTCTTCCCTTTTTTGTTCTTAACACTAAAATAGTTTTTTAAAAGGATCTAACTTCTTCCATCATAAAACCACCAAAGGATACAGGATTTCTGTATTACTAGACAATCAAATCAAAGCCAAGTTACCACCATAACACCTGCCTAAATTGTTCTTCTCAACACTGCTGCCTTTTGGTGAACAAACAAAACTCATAGGTCAAAGAACAAATGGGTGGGAACAACCCCAGGCAAAACTGTTAAAAATACACTATGGTGGGAACTCTCTTGTCCCCTCCTGGCCTGAGTCCTCTCGCTTTATCTCTAAATAAAAATCTCTGCCTTGCTCTCCTTAAAAAAAAAAAAAAAAAGAATACACTATGACCTTCTCCCTCCGGGATTGCAGCCTCTGTCTTCCTCCTCTAACCCTCCCCTGTGCCAGAGCACACACATCCCCAATCTCAGACACATTGCTACCTGTCCCCTCCTCTCCCTCCTGTCCCAGGCTGTCTCCAGAGTTTCACATCTGTTAAATTCTTTAAAATTCTAACTTGTAACAAAATTGTTCATCCCTAAGGAAGGACTTGGAATATAAATTATCCCAGATGTACTTGAGTTTCCAGAGAGTCTGGAAGAGTAGAAGTCTTGAATAATTCCCTTATGAATAAGGTCATGATAACCAGAATAATGGCCCTCTTGAATCATAACACATTGGCAGTCATTCCTCTGACGCCTTAATTGTTAAGTCAGCGCATTGTGTATTTCCCACCTCATTTGCCTTCCCAAATATCCAGGCCAATAGCGCTACTTGAATCAGGCATCACTATGTAAGATGAGAAGTAAACAGAGAAACTGACATGTAGGCAGGCAGCTGGGAAATGCAGACTTATGAGCAGAGAATTTTTTTTTCTTGAACAATAGAGGCAGATGCAAAAATGCGTGTAAATAATATAGTCTATATAGTAAAATATTAAAATGTAGTGTTAATTTTTACTAGAAATTACACTTGACATAATCAAAAAGCCAAAACTTAGCATAGTTCAAAGTATATTTATAAGGTGGCTTTTGGTAAAGTATAGATATCTTCAATGTTTTTATTTGGCTTTGTTTTCCTTTTGGAACCAGGTTATTCAGAGAATATTCTACACAGTCAACAGATCTTGGAATGGAAAAATTACTTCGACAGAGATAAGAAAAAGCAACTTTTTGCAAGTATGCCTCTCTCGGAATTCGTATATAAAGAACAATTTAAATAATATTCTTCCTTCACTTAACAAATATCTGAATGCTTATCGTATGCAGGCACTGTCACTACTTTCAGTCAGTAAGCATTTATCAGATACCTGGGATGTGTTGGGGGGCAACAAAGATGAATAACAAGAGATTTTTGCATCAAGGCATGCATTCTGGAGCTAAAGACAAAAGTGGACAGGCAGTCACTCCTGACTTGAAAAACTCCACAAAAATGTAGAATTGAATATGCAGAGAAGGCTTTACAGAAGGACTAGCATGTAATCTTGACCTTGGAGAATATAAGGAGTTTACCAAGATAAAAAGTTACAAGAAAAGGGGATTATATATAGAGGAAGCAGCATAAGAAAAGGCCCAGAAGCATGTGAGTATCATGTTCAGGAACTGTGAAACAGTGAGAAGTGGCTAGTGGCTCATGGAGAGAGTGACCAGTGATGAGACCTCAGGGGTGAGGTGGGACAGAGTAGGGAAGGGCCTTGCAAAAGAAATAGAGGAATTTCAACTTGACCCTTTCAGCAGTGACTGTTTATCCAGCATCTACTGGAGAAAAACACAAAAAATTATTTTTAAGAAAAAATACATTTCATTCAACTATTTTATTTTGTCAAATGAGAGGGAAAATACTGACCACTAGTGGGAGCCTTTTACCGAGGTAATCTCAATGCCTGTTTGCTGAAAGTTCTATTAACTTAAAGTAATGAAGAGCAAAGTAATGATGATTTGGCCAAACTAGCAGCCCACAATAAATACACTAAATTCTTTTATTCTAAAATGAACAATATGATGGACAGTGACTGTAATGGGGTATGTGGTGGGAACTTGATGATGGGGGGAGTCTAGTAACCATAATGTTGCTCATGTAATTGTAGATTAATGATGCCAAAATAAAAAAATTTTTTTCAAGAAACTAAAAAAGGGAAAAAAAATGACCAGTAATCCTCGCAGTCATTGTTAATATTTATTGAACACCCAGTGCCTAGCTGGCTGGGCTTTTAGGTAATATGGGATGGGTTGAGATGGCAATAATTCCATAAAAGAAGCCTTATCACTTAAGAATGGTAATAATCCCACACATTCCTGAAGTATACTAGATTTTTACCTTCTGGAACATTATTTATTATATTCCCATATTCTTTTTACTGGTGATAAAATTTGAGTCCCAGATATGGTTAAATGACTTGTATAAAATCACACAGCAAGTAAGTGGCTGAACTGGAAATAGAACTCAAGTGTTCTGCTTCCTAGAGTGTGATTTATTTTCTCCCTTTTCTTCCCTACCCCTCTCCTTAATCTTCCTATTAGTTCTTGAATATGTGCTCATAGAACATTCAAGTAACAGGAACATATCTAGAATAATATGCAGAAGTCACTGTATCTTCTCCTTGCCATTTCATTCCCTTTCCCAGAGGGAACCCATGGTATCTGTGGTTTTATTCACTTACGTATCAGGATATCAGGGTATGTACATGGAATATTCATGGAGTATATAGTTCTGCTTTGTATGGCTCCTTTTATGAGTTTTTTTTTTAATATATGAGGTCATACTTATTATTCTGTTAACTTGGTTTTTTTCACTTAACAGTATATCTTAATATTCTTTTTATTTCCATTCACACAAATCTATCTCATTTTTTATGGCATAGTTACACTATCTATTCCTCTGTTGATGATGTTCAAGTCATTTTCTTACTTTTCTTACTACAATGATTCAGTGAAACATCCTTGTACTTTCCTCTTGTGTATATATGAAGAATTTCTCTGGAATGAACTACTAGAGGACAAAATCCTAGATCAAATAGTATGGGCATTTTCAATTTCATAGATCCTTCCTAAAAGCCTGTAGTAGTTCATACTTACATACATACTCACCAGCACCAGAAGTTACCCATCTTTTTCATTTTATGGCAATTTTAGCAGGTGAAAATGAGAGCTCCTTGCTCCTTAAGATTTGTTTTTTGTATGTATTCTGCTTTATATATGTTAAAGGGCATTTTATAAAACAAAACATTACAAGCAAGCTTAGAAAAAGAAAAATCATATTTTATTACCCTGATACAACTAATATCATTTTTATGTATTCTTCTAGTCTCATTCATATGCATATATGAATTTTAGGATTTTACATAGTTATTAGTGTATATAATCTTGTGTCCTGTATTCTGCACTCAGACCACATCACTTGCTTCCTTTGTATTTAGACTTTATAATTTTTACTAGTTGCATAATCTTCCATTGAGTGGATTTACATAATTTAATAATTTATATTGTTTTCAGTTTATAATACATTTGCATGATGAAATAGTCACGTTTGTCCCTTAAATGTTTTTCACCTTGAATTCCATTTTATTTTCTAATAATATTGACATGTGTTTTCTTTCTGTTATGACTTAACTAGTATATGTTTGTCTCTTTTTTAACCTTCCTTTTAAATTTTATTTTATACTTATCTCTTATGGACAGCATATACCTAAATCTATTTTTTGGGATTTGGTTTTATACTCAATCTGAAAATATTTTAATAAGGAGATTAACTCATTTATCTTAATTGTGATTATTGATATTTATGATCTTGTTTCTGCCATCTCATTTTGTTTTTTCTATTTCCTAAGTTTCTTTATGGTTTCTTTTATCTTTCTGAATCTTTCATTTCTGAAAATGTCTTCATTTATCTGTCCACTTACATAATAATTTATCTGATTATAAGAATTCTGAGTTCAAAATCTTTGTTCCCAGTGTTTTCCATAGGGTCACACAGTGAATCAGGGGAGACCCAGGTTTCCTTCCACCTAGGGCTCTGCAGCTCCACCCGGAAACCTTCTATGCCAGACTACCACACATCATTACAGTTGTATATATAAGTCACCATTGTGGTAAACTTGATTTTATTACAAAAAAACAAACCCTATAAGTGGATGCCCACTCTTTACAACTTTGAAAAGTTAAAAACAAGGTCAGTTTATGGCCATGTATTTAAGCCTGTTTTCTAATTGTTCCATGCTTGCTAGTCTGGGGACCTTTCCCTTAGTGATGGTCCATCCCATCCCTTTCCCTGTTTTTAAATCCTCCACAGCATCTAACCCTTTGCTAAGCATATTACAGAGCTCATAAATGCTTGTAGATTGATCAGTTGATTAAAGGTAGGATGAGGTTACCTATTAAAGTTCCAGGTTTGGTACGAAAACCAAAATTACTAATTTCATTTAAAATAAAATTTACTGGACTCTGTATAATGGCCAAAGCTGACTTTTCATTATTTTAAAATAAATTAATCCTTCTTTCATACCATTTCAGACTCTAGCTCTTTTGGAAGAAGAGGAAGATATAAACCAAATCACAGATTACTTCTCCTATGAACATTTCTATGTTATTTATTGTAAATTCTGGGAACTAGATAGTGATCATGACCTCTACATCAGCCAGGCCGATCTATCTCGATACAATGACCAGGGTGAGTGTTTCAATAGATGTTAAGGCTTAAATATTTTGAAGGCAGCCAGAGTTATATAAATTGTCCCCACTCATTATGGAGAATTCCCATTTTTTAAATTCTTTATCAATTTAAGTCCTCTTTAAAGACCAAGAATTTTTAAGTGGGAATGGGTAAAGATAATAGTTTTTCATTTAGAAGCCAGGTATAGGAGGAGGGGTTTGGAGGTAAGCAATTAGAATCTTAGCTTTGACGAATTGGCAAGTTGTTAGTAGTGATGTTTATTTTCTGATGATGAATTGAATAAGATCCACATCTCTGTAAAGTTTATTTGAAAAAGAATGTGTATGAACCTTTATATATTTCCCATTTTACAATACTTATAAACAGCCAAGTTTGAAAATGTTTTTAACTTGCCAGTGTTTTCAAGGATTCTTACAGAAACTTACACTTTTTTTTGGAATTTAGTTGGGAAATACGTCCCAGCTGTCAGACAAAAGATATTTTCTCCACAGATGAATTTGGTATATTTTTCTTTTATCAGAAAACAAAAATTATACATGATATTACCCTTTTTGACTCATTTTTACTAGTAGGAAACTTAGAACCTATTACCTGCTGATTTAATATTCTTAACCAAGCACCAAGAACAGTGATTCATTCTTCTCTCGTAAGATTGTCTCTGTTCCTGTTCTTAAATGTCTCCTCAGCCACTGTTGATTTTTTTAAATCAGCCTTTAGCCTTTTAGATGTAGTAGAATACAAATCTTAAATGTACTGAATTTCACCTCTTCTAGTTGGTATATCTGACTAATGGTATATATCTTCATTATGTCTGGTGTAAAGTTTCATAGAACTTTTCATATTTAAGAAATAGAGTTCCACCTCTCAAATTCTGAGGTGCCAGTTGGGTATCAAGAGGAAATACCCAAATGTACTTATTAAATAAATAAGTATTTAGTACTATATCCACCCTTCTTCAAGCTATCATATCTTTCTGTCAGCAGAATAGCATACAGATGGAGATATTTATAGGTGTATCAGATCAGCTTTATTAGCTATACACCTTCTAACTGCCAGTGGCCAGATCATCTGTATAATATGAGCCAGCCTCCAGGAGTCATGCAAAACCCTATGGACTCTAAAGCACCCTCTTGGGCTAATAAAACCATAACTCTCATTAAGTGCCAAAATATTGTATATACACACATGCAAGTCATTAGAGGTGTGTTAAAGGGATGAAATCCAGAAAAGCAGGCATCTAGGCTGCATATTGAAGGGGCCACTAAAACTACATAATTGCCCACCTACCACCTGTCCTAAGGGACAGTATGATCTTCACTTTCAGGAGGCTAAACCTTCCAAGTCTAAAAAAGATTTTCAAAAAGCCTTTAAGTTTCGAATTAAGTGTCCTTGCCTTTCCTATATAGCCCTTTTTTTCTAACCAGTACAAACTATTAACCACATACATCAATGCTCAGCGAAGTCTAGAGGTGTAGTGTTAATTTTTACTAGAAATTACACTTGACATAATCAAAAAGCCAAAACTTAGCATAGTTCAAAGTATATTTATAAGGTGGCTTTTGGTAAAGTATAGATATCTTCAATGTTTTTATTTGGCTTTGTTTTCCTTTTGGAACCAGGTTATTCAGAGAATATTCTACACAGTCAACAGATCTTGGAATGGAAAAATTACTTCGACAGAGATAAGAAAAAGCAACTTTTTGCAAGTATGCCTCTCTCGGAATTCGTATATAAAGAACAATTTAAATAATATTCTTCCTTCACTTAACAAATATCTGAATGCTTATCGTATGCAGGCACTGTCACTACTTTCAGTCAGTAAGCATTTATCAGATACCTGGGATGTGTTGGGGGGCAACAAAGATGAATAACAAGAGATTTTTGCATCAAGGCATGCATTCTGGAGCTAAAGACAAAAGTGGACAGGCAGTCACTCCTGACTTGAAAAACTCCACAAAAATGTAGAATTGAATATGCAGAGAAGGCTTTACAGAAGGACTAGCATGTAATCTTGACCTTGGAGAATATAAGGAGTTTACCAAGATAAAAAGTTACAAGAAAAGGGGATTATATATAGAGGAAGCAGCATAAGAAAAGGCCCAGAAGCATGTGAGTATCATGTTCAGGAACTGTGAAACAGTGAGAAGTGGCTAGTGGCTCATGGAGAGAGTGACCAGTGATGAGACCTCAGGGGTGAGGTGGGACAGAGTAGGGAAGGGCCTTGCAAAAGAAATAGAGGAATTTCAACTTGACCCTTTCAGCAGTGACTGTTTATCCAGCATCTACTGGAGAAAAACACAAAAAATTATTTTTAAGAAAAAATACATTTCATTCAACTATTTTATTTTGTCAAATGAGAGGGAAAATACTGACCACTAGTGGGAGCCTTTTACCGAGGTAATCTCAATGCCTGTTTGCTGAAAGTTCTATTAACTTAAAGTAATGAAGAGCAAAGTAATGATGATTTGGCCAAACTAGCAGCCCACAATAAATACACTAAATTCTTTTATTCTAAAATGAACAATATGATGGACAGTGACTGTAATGGGGTATGTGGTGGGAACTTGATGATGGGGGGAGTCTAGTAACCATAATGTTGCTCATGTAATTGTAGATTAATGATGCCAAAATAAAAAAATTTTTTTCAAGAAACTAAAAAAGGGAAAAAAAATGACCAGTAATCCTCGCAGTCATTGTTAATATTTATTGAACACCCAGTGCCTAGCTGGCTGGGCTTTTAGGTAATATGGGATGGGTTGAGATGGCAATAATTCCATAAAAGAAGCCTTATCACTTAAGAATGGTAATAATCCCACACATTCCTGAAGTATACTAGATTTTTACCTTCTGGAACATTATTTATTATATTCCCATATTCTTTTTACTGGTGATAAAATTTGAGTCCCAGATATGGTTAAATGACTTGTATAAAATCACACAGCAAGTAAGTGGCTGAACTGGAAATAGAACTCAAGTGTTCTGCTTCCTAGAGTGTGATTTATTTTCTCCCTTTTCTTCCCTACCCCTCTCCTTAATCTTCCTATTAGTTCTTGAATATGTGCTCATAGAACATTCAAGTAACAGGAACATATCTAGAATAATATGCAGAAGTCACTGTATCTTCTCCTTGCCATTTCATTCCCTTTCCCAGAGGGAACCCATGGTATCTGTGGTTTTATTCACTTACGTATCAGGATATCAGGGTATGTACATGGAATATTCATGGAGTATATAGTTCTGCTTTGTATGGCTCCTTTTATGAGTTTTTTTTTTAATATATGAGGTCATACTTATTATTCTGTTAACTTGGTTTTTTTCACTTAACAGTATATCTTAATATTCTTTTTATTTCCATTCACACAAATCTATCTCATTTTTTATGGCATAGTTACACTATCTATTCCTCTGTTGATGATGTTCAAGTCATTTTCTTACTTTTCTTACTACAATGATTCAGTGAAACATCCTTGTACTTTCCTCTTGTGTATATATGAAGAATTTCTCTGGAATGAACTACTAGAGGACAAAATCCTAGATCAAATAGTATGGGCATTTTCAATTTCATAGATCCTTCCTAAAAGCCTGTAGTAGTTCATACTTACATACATACTCACCAGCACCAGAAGTTACCCATCTTTTTCATTTTATGGCAATTTTAGCAGGTGAAAATGAGAGCTCCTTGCTCCTTAAGATTTGTTTTTTGTATGTATTCTGCTTTATATATGTTAAAGGGCATTTTATAAAACAAAACATTACAAGCAAGCTTAGAAAAAGAAAAATCATATTTTATTACCCTGATACAACTAATATCATTTTTATGTATTCTTCTAGTCTCATTCATATGCATATATGAATTTTAGGATTTTACATAGTTATTAGTGTATATAATCTTGTGTCCTGTATTCTGCACTCAGACCACATCACTTGCTTCCTTTGTATTTAGACTTTATAATTTTTACTAGTTGCATAATCTTCCATTGAGTGGATTTACATAATTTAATAATTTATATTGTTTTCAGTTTATAATACATTTGCATGATGAAATAGTCACGTTTGTCCCTTAAATGTTTTTCACCTTGAATTCCATTTTATTTTCTAATAATATTGACATGTGTTTTCTTTCTGTTATGACTTAACTAGTATATGTTTGTCTCTTTTTTAACCTTCCTTTTAAATTTTATTTTATACTTATCTCTTATGGACAGCATATACCTAAATCTATTTTTTGGGATTTGGTTTTATACTCAATCTGAAAATATTTTAATAAGGAGATTAACTCATTTATCTTAATTGTGATTATTGATATTTATGATCTTGTTTCTGCCATCTCATTTTGTTTTTTCTATTTCCTAAGTTTCTTTATGGTTTCTTTTATCTTTCTGAATCTTTCATTTCTGAAAATGTCTTCATTTATCTGTCCACTTACATAATAATTTATCTGATTATAAGAATTCTGAGTTCAAAATCTTTGTTCCCAGTGTTTTCCATAGGGTCACACAGTGAATCAGGGGAGACCCAGGTTTCCTTCCACCTAGGGCTCTGCAGCTCCACCCGGAAACCTTCTATGCCAGACTACCACACATCATTACAGTTGTATATATAAGTCACCATTGTGGTAAACTTGATTTTATTACAAAAAAACAAACCCTATAAGTGGATGCCCACTCTTTACAACTTTGAAAAGTTAAAAACAAGGTCAGTTTATGGCCATGTATTTAAGCCTGTTTTCTAATTGTTCCATGCTTGCTAGTCTGGGGACCTTTCCCTTAGTGATGGTCCATCCCATCCCTTTCCCTGTTTTTAAATCCTCCACAGCATCTAACCCTTTGCTAAGCATATTACAGAGCTCATAAATGCTTGTAGATTGATCAGTTGATTAAAGGTAGGATGAGGTTACCTATTAAAGTTCCAGGTTTGGTACGAAAACCAAAATTACTAATTTCATTTAAAATAAAATTTACTGGACTCTGTATAATGGCCAAAGCTGACTTTTCATTATTTTAAAATAAATTAATCCTTCTTTCATACCATTTCAGACTCTAGCTCTTTTGGAAGAAGAGGAAGATATAAACCAAATCACAGATTACTTCTCCTATGAACATTTCTATGTTATTTATTGTAAATTCTGGGAACTAGATAGTGATCATGACCTCTACATCAGCCAGGCCGATCTATCTCGATACAATGACCAGGGTGAGTGTTTCAATAGATGTTAAGGCTTAAATATTTTGAAGGCAGCCAGAGTTATATAAATTGTCCCCACTCATTATGGAGAATTCCCATTTTTTAAATTCTTTATCAATTTAAGTCCTCTTTAAAGACCAAGAATTTTTAAGTGGGAATGGGTAAAGATAATAGTTTTTCATTTAGAAGCCAGGTATAGGAGGAGGGGTTTGGAGGTAAGCAATTAGAATCTTAGCTTTGACGAATTGGCAAGTTGTTAGTAGTGATGTTTATTTTCTGATGATGAATTGAATAAGATCCACATCTCTGTAAAGTTTATTTGAAAAAGAATGTGTATGAACCTTTATATATTTCCCATTTTACAATACTTATAAACAGCCAAGTTTGAAAATGTTTTTAACTTGCCAGTGTTTTCAAGGATTCTTACAGAAACTTACACTTTTTTTTGGAATTTAGTTGGGAAATACGTCCCAGCTGTCAGACAAAAGATATTTTCTCCACAGATGAATTTGGTATATTTTTCTTTTATCAGAAAACAAAAATTATACATGATATTACCCTTTTTGACTCATTTTTACTAGTAGGAAACTTAGAACCTATTACCTGCTGATTTAATATTCTTAACCAAGCACCAAGAACAGTGATTCATTCTTCTCTCGTAAGATTGTCTCTGTTCCTGTTCTTAAATGTCTCCTCAGCCACTGTTGATTTTTTTAAATCAGCCTTTAGCCTTTTAGATGTAGTAGAATACAAATCTTAAATGTACTGAATTTCACCTCTTCTAGTTGGTATATCTGACTAATGGTATATATCTTCATTATGTCTGGTGTAAAGTTTCATAGAACTTTTCATATTTAAGAAATAGAGTTCCACCTCTCAAATTCTGAGGTGCCAGTTGGGTATCAAGAGGAAATACCCAAATGTACTTATTAAATAAATAAGTATTTAGTACTATATCCACCCTTCTTCAAGCTATCATATCTTTCTGTCAGCAGAATAGCATACAGATGGAGATATTTATAGGTGTATCAGATCAGCTTTATTAGCTATACACCTTCTAACTGCCAGTGGCCAGATCATCTGTATAATATGAGCCAGCCTCCAGGAGTCATGCAAAACCCTATGGACTCTAAAGCACCCTCTTGGGCTAATAAAACCATAACTCTCATTAAGTGCCAAAATATTGTATATACACACATGCAAGTCATTAGAGGTGTGTTAAAGGGATGAAATCCAGAAAAGCAGGCATCTAGGCTGCATATTGAAGGGGCCACTAAAACTACATAATTGCCCACCTACCACCTGTCCTAAGGGACAGTATGATCTTCACTTTCAGGAGGCTAAACCTTCCAAGTCTAAAAAAGATTTTCAAAAAGCCTTTAAGTTTCGAATTAAGTGTCCTTGCCTTTCCTATATAGCCCTTTTTTTCTAACCAGTACAAACTATTAACCACATACATCAATGCTCAGCGAAGTCTAGAGGGTCCTTATGTAAGCTTTGGTATGTGGCCAGGCATGGCTGTACTGACACCCATATTCCCAACATTCTTCAGCCAAACTAATTTACCTTTATGTTGATTATACCTAACTCTGCTAAAGATTTAGATGCTGATAGCTGCTAACTCTCTAATGACCTCATCACTGGTGCTTAAATTTTAGATTGCCATTTCCTAGATCACTTGTTAAAAAAACAGATTCCTATTCTTATCACATCCCTAGGTCTGAGATCCATTGGCATCTCCTTTTTTTCTTTTTTTTAGCTAATGCCTTTAGTTATTTTGAACCCACAGTGAGGTACACCACTAGATTCCCTATGGTCTATCATCAAAAGCAACATATGATTTTAAGATACAAGTGTCTCTCTCTTTGAATAAGATGTACTAAAGGAATTTCTAAAAATCACACATTATGTTATTTCCTGGACTTTTATGGAATGAGAATGTACGAAAAGTAGTTTCAGTATCTTTTATAAAATTATACTTGAAAGTATTGTTTTTTGTTTTATTCGAAGTCACATTATAATTAGAAGCTGACAGTCAGTTCCTCTTTGAAGTTAATGCTAGGATAAAATTTGTCTTGTTTTAGAGTGAAAGTCCTACTGGATAACAATATCAATTCAAATTCTATACATTTTTGTGTTGTCAGAATGTTCAGAATGAATTTGGCACTCAACTATATTAATACATCCCAGCTGTCAGGCATATCGATTTGCCTACTTTTTTAAATTATTGATTGAGTATACTACCTCAAATTCTTACTTTCAAAAAGAATAAATTATACATAAGTAAAAATTTAACTACTCATATTATCATCATGGAAGGTTATTATGTTTTAGCTCGTGGTTACTGAAAATAAATTTGCCAAAAGTATTCCCTTTATGCAACATGTTTCTAACTAGTTTTGTACTTTCTTATTTATATTTAGCTTCATCAAACAGAATTATTGAAAGGATATTCTCTGGGGCAGTAACAAGGTAAGAAAAAGCATCTGAGTTTAAAAATTAACTAAAAGTAAACTGTAACAATTTCATTTTTGCAGGGCTTCCTGTAAAATTTGGCAGCATAATACCCTATGAAACATACAGGCCTGGCTTTATACAAAACAGTAGTAATTCTTTAACATGCAGGCATTAGTCCTTTACCTAAGTATAGGCAACAGTGATCCTGGTTATTTGCATTCAAATTTGAAACCAGATTTATTTTCTCATATCTGCAAATGCCCTTTGATTTCACCCTCTAGATTTAAAAACAAGATAGGCCATGAAAGGGATTGCCCTTTATGAAATTTACACCACTCTTTTTTGTATTTTAACTTAATTTCTGAAGAAAGATTTGCTTTATTTCTTAGTCTATCATTCTACTAAATTTATCCAACTAATTGCTCAGGAAACTTTATAATCATGTGTTTTCTTCAGGGGAAAAACTGTACAAAAAGAAGGAAGAATGAGCTATGCAGATTTTGTTTGGTTTTTGATCTCAGAGGAAGACAAAAGGAACCCCACCAGGTATGATTTCTCATCTTCCTTTGCCAAGAGTATTAATATTAAACACATGAACAAAGCTTGAAAGCCAGCTAGACCTGCCATACCAAGACAGATTAGACTTAGTCACAATACATTAAGAGAAGTGCTTTTACCTCCAGAATCAAAGGCAAAGTGACATGTGAGCTGCTCCAGAGGGATAAGTAGGACTAGGAGGCATTTATTATGGAATGCGGGAATATATACTTTGAATTTTAGTTTTTTTATTATTTCATGGTTCATTAGTAAATTGAAGAGGGAAGAAGAACAAACTGTGGGTGACTAGTATATGAGAACACATCCTCATTTCCCCAGTTAGAATCATCTCTCCCTTTCCTTGACACTCCACCGTGAATCTGTTTTTTGACATTAGTCTGTCTCTTGTTTAAGCCAAAAATCTAGGTCCCTCTATTCTTTTAATTTCTAGATAGTATAACATATAACACAGTGCCCTGCACATAGTTTGTGCTCAGTACCAAGGAGAAGGGAGGCTGTAGTCTGCAGTGCTACTTGCTGGTATAACTGACTCAGCTGTCTGTGTGTTGGTTCAAGAAATTATCTAAATGTTGAATATAGGGTTTGGAAATCATTGAAGCAGAAATAACACTAAGCTATTTCTTGGGCAGTCACTTAGATTGTTTTTAAATAACTTGGTTTTCCATTTCAAAGCTAGTAATTTATTATCCATTGCAGATAATTTAGAAAACATGGATAAGCAGAAGATAATAAAATATAATAACTAATAATTCTAATACTCAGAAAAAGGCACTATTAAAAGTTGGCATATATTGTAGTTTTTTTCATATACTTTTACATACTCTTTGGACATTTAGATTGTTAGTTCCATTGAATTAAATCTTAATTACCATACACTTCAAAATTTTTATGAAATGCTCCTCTAAATAGCAGTTACAGCTAGTAGTTATAACCAAATAGTTACAACATCCACTGCTTTTTTCCTTAGTATAAATTCCCAAAACACAATTGCTAGGTTAAAAGGGGATACACATAATTTTAAGGGCATTTATAAAAATTACTAAATTGCTCTTCAGAAAAATTTTATCATTTTATACCTTTGTCAACAGGTATGAGCATATATCCTATAACCCTTACCAAAAGCAGGTATTTTCCTCTTTAAAATATTTTCCAATTTGGTAAATAAAAAATTTAGTATTATTTTATTTTGCATTTCTTTGGTTACTGGTGAAGCTCAATTTTTTTCATCTATTTTAAGCCATTTTTGTTTCATCTTAAGCAACTTGTCTTTTCATGTCTTTTGCATATTTCTTTCAAATTACTTTTGTCTGTTATCACAAATACACATTAAGAATTTAAAAATTATAAAATACATACATTCAAAAACCTTAATATAAAATTCATTCATAATTCAATGACCCATAGTTAACATTTTCTTATATGACCTTCTACTTCTCGTCCTCCCCCACCTCTCCTCCCCCTGCTCTCTCTCCCTGCACCAAAAGATATATAGCATGATAAATAGCATCATGCCATACAGTTTTATAGGATACTTTTTCATACAACAGTATATTTCTATGCCAGTCGAATGATTATAATTTATCATTAACCCATTATTTTTGAATGCTTAAGTTGTTTCAGTTAAATTATCTAAGTTTCTAAGATTTAAAGGCTCTACATTTTTCCATTTCCTGCCTTTTTGGGGTTCTGTTAACCCTCTCAATCTTAATCTTTTATTTTTCACTGTTCCTTAATTATGGAAAGGCTTTCCTTAAATACTTCCCATCCATGTTTTCCTCGTTCTGGAACTCCTATTATCCCACAGGAACAAATGAAGAGAACTAGAAATGGTAATAAAGAGGTTAATATACCAAACTCTGTGAATATATACTTACTCTCACCTTTAAATGAACATGTATATAAAGTAATAATTAGAACAATGTATTATTGGATTTGGAATATATATAGATGTAATATGGATAATAATAGCAAAACAAGGAAGAAAATTATTTCAATATCTATAAATAAGTATAAATCTGAAGTTAATTCTAAGAAGTTAAAATGTGTATTGCAAGTCCTAGAGTGACCACTAGGAAATCAACTCAAAAATATATAGTGAAGAAAATCATTAAAAGAATCAAAACATTACACTTAGAAAATATCTACTTAATGTAAAAAAGAAAGCAATAAAGGACAAACAGGAAAAATTCTAAGACATATAGAAAACAAAAATAGCAGACATAAGTCCAACTGTATCAATAACAACATTAAATGTGAGTGGATTAAACATTCTATCAAAAGGAAGAGATTTTTCAGGCTGTAAAATAAACTAATATACAATTATATGCTGTCTACATAAGACACATTAGATTTAAAGATACAAAAGGGGGAAAAAAGGAAAAGGAAGGATAAAGATATAGCATGCAGTCACCATAAGAAAATTGAAATAGCTATATAAATATCAGAGAACATACACTTTAATACAAAAATTATTTCAAGAAACAAGGATATTCTATATCATAAAAACATCCATCCAAGAGGAAGATATTAAATTATAAACATATATGCACCTAACAACACAGAACCCTAAATACCTAAAACAAAAACTGACAAAATTACAGGGAAAGAATAAAAAATTCAACAGTAGTAGTTCGAGACTTCACTATACCACTTCCAGTGATGGACAACCATGAAGATCAACATGGAAGTAGAAGTCATGAATATCACTATAAAAAAAACCATGAAGCAGTGAGCCCCAACAATACCTACAGAACATGCCAGTTAAGAACTAGTAGGATATATAATCTTAAGTTCACAGAGAATATTCTCCAGAATAGAATATATTATAGGCAATAAAATAGTCTGAATAAATATAAATCTTAATTACCATACACTTCAAAGTGAAATCATACAATTTTCTCTGACCACCCCCCAAAAATAACATTAACAACAGAAATATCGGGATTCACAAATATGTAGAAATAACACACTGCCTAAATAACATAAATTAGAAAATAATTTGAAATGAATGAAACATACCAAATGAAGGAACAATATAACAAAACTTTAATGAATGAAAATGAAAACATGGTGTACCAAAATTTATGGGAAATCACAGCAGCAGTGCTAAGAGATATCTATAACTGTAAATGCATAAATTAACAAAGAAATATCTTAATAAACTAACCTTCCACTTTAAGACACTGGGAAAAAAGCAAATTAAGCCTGACAAGCAGAAAAAAGGAAAGAATAAAGATTAGAATGGATAAATGAAATAGATGAGAAAAGTCAATGAAGCCCAAAAGTCAGTTCTTTTGTAAAGAGCAATAAAGCCTGGAGGATTAAAGATGGCAACATGAGAGATGAGACAGTGGCCTCCTCCCAAAACCACATAAAATACAAAAATATAATTAATGCAACTAGTCCTGAAAGAGCAACAAGAAAGACCAGACTGCATGCACCTGGAGAAAAGAACAGACCTCACGGAACAGGGTAATGTACCAAAGCCGTGATCCAGCAGGACCCAACCCTTCCCACACCCTAGCTCACTGACAGGAGGAAGAGAAGCAGAGGGAGAAGGGAGTACAGGCCTGGGACTGCCGAACACTAGGCCTGGAGATGTGCTTTGGGAGCACAAACCTACATTGCATGGTGCTGTGGAGATTGGTGGGTATGGAAAGCTAAGACAGGCAGAATACCTCAAGAGACTGAGATTCCAGCCACTTGTGGAAAACAGGGATCCATATCTGGCTCCTATGCGACAAAGGAAAGGTGGGCAGTCTGAGAGACTTCCTAACAGTGCTTCCTAAAGGGGCAAGGATTGCACAGAAGTTACTGCTCAAAATTGTCCAGGCTCACTCTTCCCAGCAGGTTGGGAACTTACAGGAGCTTCAGGCACTTCATTCCCCTGGCTGGCTACACAGCTCCAAAGAACCCACAGTGATACGCAACCTGCTGCGCCTTCCTCCAGGTGAGCACACACCTGACTCGCAAACTGGCAGCCCCTGCCCTGGCATAAGGTGAGCCAGAGGGAAGCTCTGCCTACAGCAGCTACAATGCAAAGCATAGAGACTTCTACCCATGTGTTTGGCACACTGGTTCTGGCTGTGGAGACAGGCATAGCAGCCAGGAAACAGGAAATAGCTCTTTCCAACCCCCAGGCACCAGCACTGTACCCCTGCAACCCCCAACATCGCTCCAGGGGCTGAGCAGCTGCAGAGAGTAGAGCTTCTGGGCATTAGAGGGCACTACATACAAATATGAAACATCAAAGTAACCTGGTTCAAACCAAAATCACACCAACACCAGAAAAAGGGGAAAGTGAAACTGAACTCATCAATCATCCTGAAAGAGATTTCAAAATAAAAATCATAAACATGCTCATGGAGGTACAGGAAAGTACTCTAGAACTCAAGAACGAATTCAGGATGGGGAGCAAATAATTACAGAATACAGTTGAGGGATTTAAAAGCAGATGAGATACGACAAATAAAATAGAAATTAGAGAAGAAGAATATAAATCTGAGGCACAGAGAGAAAAAAGGATCTCTAGGAATAAAAGAATATTGAGAGAACAGTGTGACCAATCCAAATGGAACAATATTTGTATTACAGGGTACCAGAAGAAGAAAAGAGAGAAAAAGGGATAGAAGTTGTCTTTGAGGAGGTAACCACTGACAACTTCACCAATCTAGGGAAGGAGATAGTCTCTCAGGCCACAGAGATGCACAGATATCCCAACACAAGGGACCCAAGGAATAAAACTCAAAGACATATTATTATTAAAATGGCAAAGACCAAGGATAAGGACAGACTATTAAAAGCAGCCAGGAAGAGAAAAAAGATCACATACAAAGGAAAACCCATCAGGTTATCATCAGACTTCTCAGCAGAAACCTTAGAGGCCAGAAGGGAGTGCCATGATACATTTAATACAATAAAGCAGAAGGGCCTCAAACCAAGAATATTCTACCCAGCAATACAAATTTGTTTATTTCATTTGTTTAATT